GTGGTTGATGGAGTACAGAGATAAGTAAGAGGGGAAGGTTTGTCCTGTCTTTTGGGGACAGGTGAGCTGAGGCTTGTAATACAGAGACAGGTAAGGGGTATTGCTTTAGCTTTTAGGGGACAGGTAAGATGAATGGCGGAGTACCTAGACAGATAAGGGGAGGGGTTTCCATATGATGGGGGTGAAATGCAATGAAAGGCATGGAGTAGGGGTAAGGGATAATGGTGGTGGTCTCTCACTCACATCACACTAATGTCCAGGTATAGACGGGTTCAAGTGTGGCGATGGGGAAGAAGTCGGCATAATGGTGTGGGGGTCCAGGTATTGGGAGGTAGGATTTTTGGTGGGGGTCTCGCTCACATGTTGAGTCCACTGACGTCCAGGTCACAGCTGCACATGTAGTACAACTGGTCTGAGTCACCTTTGGATACAACAACAGTACGAAGCCAGGAACCTGAAACAACCTGGCAGTGCTCCCTGATTGGCAGGACCAGCATGTGTTCTTCCAGGATTCCTTCTGTAACACTGACGCCATCCACAGCATTACCTGACAGCTGAAACTACACCTGTGCGAGCCCCCCTTGTCACATGGCATTGGGTGGTTGGCAGCTTCCTTACACTTGCGCAAGGAGAGTGGGTGCCATATGTTGTGGTTGACCCAGAAAAGAAGCCGAAGCCAGGTGCAGAAATGAGCATTCCAGCAACCAGCCAGTAGCAGGCCCGAATCTGCAGGACGCCTGGAGTTTGTTAAAATCCCTGGACAGTCCTACAGGATCTGAAGCTGTTGAGAGATATGCAGTCACCACAGTGTTTTTTAAGTTGCTGTTGCAACCCAGTGGCCAGTAATTGTCCAGCCTTGATCTAAACCAATGGCACCAAGGTATTTCCTGTAATGTGTTGTTCAAGGAATACATAGTCTGTGTCAGAGAGAGACATGGGAAATCAATAAATGAGTGATAGATGAGTAATTGCCCTGCAGAACCAAGGTCACCCTACCTATTCACCTGACCCTTATGAGTAGTTGGTTTCACCATAGATACACTTCAGTGATAGTAAACAGACTTCATAGTGAGGAAAAAGAATGCTGTTTGCAGTTATGTGTATGGGGGGGGGCTATTATTTTATATGTGCACGGGTAGTATTTTTGTATGTGCACGGGTAGTATTTTTGTATGTGCATGGGGGGAAGTGTATTATTTTATATGTGCAGGGGTAGTATTTTGTGTGTGTGTGTGTGTGACAGGTAACAACAGCTGCATATAAATGCCTGCACACCACATGTAACTTTGGGAATCCTTGGCAAATAGTAGTTAGATAGTTCATTTTTAGCATCTGTGGATGACTGAAAAGCCTTGAACAGAAAATTATGTTATGAAAAATCTAACGTTCTGATAGGGTTTAAACTGGATTTATCTGATTTCTATCAAATACAAAAATGTTAGATTTAAATAGAATGCTTCACATCACCCTGGAGAGCAGATAGGATTGTATTAAGCTTTTACTTTTAAAAGACAATATTGTACCGGTATACATTTGCAAAGATATTATGCATGTTTGATTAATCTGCTCCTATTTTTACCTAATGCTGTTGCACCTGTTTTGCACCTGACTGCGAATACACAAGTTCAGTGAGTATTTCTGAGAATTGCTTATGAAAACAGCTTTAGCTATATGAGGAAACATTGACAGCAAACTGCCTTGAAACAAGCAGCAAAGATTTATAGACATTTCCCACGTAAACTTGCAAATGAGCAGCAGCTTGCTCTATTTGTACTTGTATGTTAGATAACATGATTAAAGGAATACTGTGCCTTTTTTTCCATTCCTGATTTACTTATCGTAATTCACAATCTGCATTTCCTGGCAGCTGAAGATCTCATGAATAAACGTAATAACATATGCAGTTTTATGACCAGTTTAAAATCTGCATGCCAAGCTGTCTGACCTGGCAAATCACATACAGTATGTGGATTTTCTATTGTATTACATATCATACACGGTTAGACACCGTTCTGCAAACAGTGTTACCATTTTAAAGGATAACAAAATCCAAGCATTTTTGTAGAGGTAGAGCTACTGTGACCTTACAATTAATGTTTCCTGTATGCCTCTAATGTGTGCTGCCTATAGGTGCCCATACACTGCACGTTTCTCGTACGAGAATCGCGTGAAATCCTGCGATCGTACGAGAATCGTGCAGTGTATGGAAGGCGTGCGACCGTTTCTAATGTATGGCCGCACGACTTTTGTATTTCGAGCATGTTGGAAAACCAGCCGAGAAGCGTACGATTTTCGGCTGGTTTTTAACATGATCGAGAGATGACTGCCGAACGGGCCGGGACCAGGACAAGGTGACTATTAAATCTCCCCAGCAGGGAGATTCAAACATCAGTATTGTAAATAAAAACCAGAGGGAAAAAACTTCAGACTGTATTTTGCTAAACCACAACCCACAAAATGCTTTGACGGCCCCATTGAATACAATGTCACATTGGCATGACTTTTCATCACTGTTTGGTGGAAATGGGACAAGTAAAGTTGCCCATACACTGCACGATTCTCGTACGAGAATCGCGGGAAATCCTGCGATTGTACGAGAATCGTGCAGTGTGAATGAAGACGTGCGACCGTTTCTACTGTATGGTCGCACGTCTTTTGTCTAAGGAGCATGCTAGAAAACCAGCCGAAAATCGTACAATTTTCGGCTGGTTTGAATGATGCTCGGGAGACAAATGCCGAACGGTCATCGGAAGCCCGCCCCTCAAGATGGGCAGATCGTACGTTTTTTTAATTACTTTACAACCATCGCAAGACTAAGGTCTTGCGATGGTTGTAAAGTGTATGGCCACCTTTAGACTGTTATCCTCAGCTGGAGGAAGCTGATTGGGGAATTGTAACCTTCAGGGTAAAAGCATTTACAATCAGAAAGGAACAGCTGGTGTATATAGAGGAAATGCAAGGTCTGCTTAGAATGCTTACTCCCTGAAAAAGCAGGTCAGGGACAGCAATAAAAATAAAAAAGGAAAGGAAAAATGGGAATCATAATTACCTTATGCATCATCTTCCTCTGGGCCTAGTCATGCAATTGTGGGAAATTTGAGGAGCCTAAATCCTGTGAAAATGTGTTCCTGCAGAGCAGCTTCTCACCAGATTTAGGATTCTGAGCTTTCCTAGGAACCTGTGGTGAGGCCCAGTGATGTCACCGGCACCTACAGGAAGCAGCTAGAAGCTGAGGTGTAAGGTAAATATTTTTTTCAATATTTTAAGACTAGAGATGGGAAGGGCTGGAAAAAAAATGGAAAAACTCAAGCCGGTTTTGTTTTTTTCCGGAAAAATTGAAATAAAAAAAAGGAATGTGTAATATGTTGTTTTACAATGATAAATATTATATCTTTGACAGGGTATTCAAACTTTATAACATGAAGACCTTAATGAAATATTTCTGAAACTTTATGTAAAGTCTAAAATTGTTGCACATTCTCTGGCATTTATGCCACTAAGGGCACTGCAAAGGAAAGGCTCCAGTTTAATTAGCGTGTGGGCTCTATCTTGTACCTCTTACAGTTGGGTGATTGTTGGTATGATAGTAGATGATAGTTTCTGTCCTCTCAGGCCTTCATTGACAGACAAGAGGGTACATTTGTCTGACAAATTAGTTTATCTTTATAACCTTTAAATGATTCCTAATAATGTTCTCCACCATCACAGTATAATGTTTACCTATAGTCTGGTCAGTAAATTGTTTTTTTTCTTCCTCTCAGTAAAATGGTGAGACCAACATCTAGAGTTTGGAAACATTTCCACTGTGCAACATCTGCTGAGAGCAAAGCTGCAATTTGCAATTATAAAATAAAATTTTACTGTACTTTTATTTCAAGCATAATACTTTTATATATACTGCGTTTCACGTTCCTAGTGTAACAAAATTACTTTCAATTTGTAAAAATACTCAACACAGAATTTTTTTTCCGAAAATTTCCATTTTTTTCGGTGGAAAAACGTTTTTATTTCTTTATGGCTTCAAAGTTTCCGGAAATTTTACATCTCTATGGTAAAATCTCTATTTAAGACTTTATTGCCTTTACTGAGGGCTTCATGTATAAAACTTGCCAGGAGCATGTTTTTCACACAGCAGTAGTGCCCCTAGATGACACTGACAAGTATAGGAATCTATTTTAGTAGCCCAACGGCTGTTGAAATGGCTATAAGCCGGGCTGAAGTTTTACACATGATGCCCTGAGTGTTGTGTATTCGGGGAAATACATGTGCATTTTGTTTCAAGAACAATTCAACTTGAAGTTTACAATCTCCTTTTTACCATAAATCCTTTTTACTGTGCCTAAAATGATAAATAACCTTACTACTATATTTAAGTTCTAAAATTAAATATTTTGCATTAATTGGGAGACCATCTGAATATTTTACAGTGTGCACTACTGCTAGAAAATCATTTGTAAAAGACGCATAATCCTTTGGTCAATGATACAAAATTGAATCCAGATGATTTTTTTTTAATTCATAGCAAGTGTTTATTTCCTTTGTTCCTTTTTATTCAGCTGTATTCTTTTTGTTTCTGAAATGCATAAGTTTCCATTACTATAAAGGGAATTGGATATTTTCTAACAGAAAAGATGTTTCTAATCTATTAGCTTTTGTCTGACCATGAAAATCCTGTCTACAGAGAAATGACTACGAAAGAGAAAGCAAACAATATCTGACTTGTCTTATTCTTTTCCTTAGGTTCCATCATGGTGACTACACTGTGGATGTGAGCATCAATGATTACCTGGATATTTACTGCCCCCATTATGAAATTCCTCTCCCAGCAGACAGGATGGAGCGTTACATACTCTATATGGTCAATTATGATGGCCACGCCTCCTGCGACCATCGGCAAAAGGGGTTCAAACGATGGGAATGCAATCGTCCAGATTCCCCTAATGGACCACTGAAGTTTTCTGAAAAATTCCAGCTGTTTACGCCATTCTCTCTGGGGTTTGAGTTTCGTCCTGGACATGAATATTACTATATTTGTAAGTATCAATGGGACAAATAAGCAGGCCTACATGTTTATGACATCTGTGTATTTGTTTCTTTATTATATACAGATGCTTTGCATATAACAGCTCCCTCTTTGGGCAGGATAAAACAAATACCCAGTGTTATGTTTTAGGATCATATAAAACAATTTATATTATTTGGTGAGTCACAAGGCTTCCATGCAAATTTAATCTACTGATTTTGAAAAATGTTCTATATTTATTATTCTCCTAATTCTTAATTCTTAATTCTTATTTATATTTTACATTATACGCAGTAAACTACTATAGTGCTAAAAGGCCTAATTACATGGTGGGCTTGCTATTAATCATAAAAAATCTGAAAAATTATGTACATGCTAAGAAAATGTTTATGCATTCTTGTACAGTAATTACAAATGAACTCCCACAACAATTTTGGCTCCACCTCTAACCATAGCAGTTATTCTCAGTAATGACAAAAACACTAAATACATTCAGGAAAAGAATAACAAATTTAAGATTCAGTATTGGGGCTTCATTCCCGTAAGTTATCTAAGTAATTAGACTTCAGATTCAGTGGTCAAGTAAATGTGTGCTAAAATCTCTAAGAACCACCTTCCTTATCTTTTATAGTCAAAATCAGACCTCCAGTGCAGTGATCTCCCATTTTACCCCACCCGACCTTGCACTTTGCGGGGCATTTGGATAGATTAAGGAATAATTTGAAAAACCTGACAGTTTTTTTTCTTTGGCTGTTTTCTTTACTTCCTGTCCCAGAGATACAACAGAAAGTAAATGAAGGGGAAATAATTTACAGTTTTAACCAGAACAAATGTCACTTTCTACCTGTTCTGGTGACAGGTGTATTTTTTTGATTTGTAATTCCTTTTTCCTGGTGACAAAGGCCAGCCAAAATAGTGGGAGTGAATTACAGGGAGCAATTACGTAAATATGACAAACGTTTTACACCTTCCACATTCTATCCAAAACTAAAATAAAGTATAAATATATTTTAAACATTTGTGCCGCTGCCCGCAGTCTTATGGCTAATTTTACTCTAGGGTTAGTGGGGGGAAAAGTGGTAAATTTCTTCTATAGCTTATAAATGGGCATATGATGGTCAGATGGCTTGATTTGTATTTAAAAAAAAAAATTATGCTGTTCGCCTTCATACATTCCACAATAATAATCAAATCTAAGAATGTTTAAAATACAAATAAAAGACAAAAACTATTACCTAAGTCCTCTCCTTCCAGTTGCCCATTGTAGACAGTTTCAAGGGATTTCAATTTTCCTAATTAAATTATAGTCTCAGAAGTCCTCCCCTCCTGTACATGAATGTCATAACCACCCACTAGCAAAGTCATGTATTGTGCCATATACATTAATATCATATTCTAAAAGCATATTCAAGTGATGTTAGAACTCCTGGAGGCAGGACTAAAAAATGCATATGCTTTCTTAATGTGTCTCTTTTTGCACTATTTGCAATATAGCAAATGTTAGGGTTGGAGTTTTGCAGTGATACTGCAAAGTGTTGATGGTGATGCAAAACTAGTGCATATATATGTTAAATTCTTTAGTAGTGGAACAAGGATCTAATTGTTCTCTACACAGTAACACAAAGTGTGAAATGCAACGAGTAGGTTAAAAAAAAATATATAGGTTATTCTAAAGAGAAATGTAGCTAAATGAATTAGCCATTTGCTCTATTTCACATATACTTTGACTGAAGCAGTGGATATCAGCCATTTAGTTTGTTCACAGAAGCCCTCCTGAATATTTTGCTTACTCTGTCATACTGTTCTGATTATTTCAGCAGCACATCACACATAAGTCATAAGCAATGCATCAAAAATGCCCCACATGTCTAAATAATGAGCAACTTAGTCAATCTTTGTTTCAAAGTGATATTTCAAGCATAAGATAACTATGTAGAAAATTCTGTATATAAGGGTCAGTAATTCAGGCCAGTGTTTTGGGCTATTGCACATGTATATCCTGTGCTGTTCTACTAGTGCTACAACTTGATGATACCTTAAAAGAGCACCCTTAGCACAAAGAAAATACAGTAATTGATAAGCAACAGTCTAATTTTAATATAAGAAGGGATTCAGTAGTTGCATTTTCTCTTGGTAAGTGACATGTAGAGTTGTTGCAGAAAATCTACTGCAATTCACACAGGGCTATTCACAAAAGGGCGAAGAGTTGGGAGAAGGCAGGAGAAGTGAGCAATCTAGGACAACATAGCTGAACTGGAAAGTAAGCTGAATTGGAGAATTTCTCCAAATCAGTTGTTTTGGCCTAGATTGTTTACTTCTGCTTTCTCCAAACTCTTCACCCTTTTGTGAATAGTCCTGATAATGTTTCAGTAATTTCCAGTGAATTAAGTTATTTCAGATAAACTATCAACCAGGCATATGTAATTAGCAAAATGTGCCTCACTTTTACTTTGGTAATACGTTACAGGCCAATTACGTTTTTTGGGCTTCCCTTAGGCGTGTCATCTTGTTGGCCTGGGCTCACAGTACAACGCACTGACGTTATAACAAGAGCATCATTCTCTGCAGCATTGAGGAGCTGCCTACTGCCACCACTGGAGTAGATGTGGAAAGACCTTGGGTTGTCATGTGAACTCAGGAAAAATATATCTGAATAGCACCTTCCCTGTGCTTACATTTTCTATATAAATACATTGATTGGCAGCAATGCTATTGATCCCATTCACATTTTAGTCTACCAAAATGCAAAAGGCTAGTTTGTAAAACAAACGTTTCTATCTGTGTTCGGGAACTTATACTTTTATAGTCTTGATATTTTCAGGGAAATTATAAATTGCAAAAAGTCATGTGTGGCATACACATCAACACCACAACCAATACAATCTAACTTCTATTTCTGGTACTATATAAATCGATTATGTGAAAAACCAGGAGCCATTTCTATTTTCATATACTTAAAGTGACATTAAAGGATAATTTTTTTTCCCTCCCCCCAATGTTAATGTCAGCACTTACCTTAAATGATGTCTCTTAATCCGATCTTCCTCTTCTTTCCTGATGTTTTCATCTGTCCCTCCAGCGGTGCGGCGGCTCTCCGATCCAGTGCTGACTCCTCTCTGCTTGCAGGCACTTCTGATCCAGCGGTGTCTGCATGCGGGTGCACGCGTCCATACACTTACCTTGCATCTCTGCTCGTCTCCCGGCCGAGAATCCGAACTGCGCATGCGCCCGCCCCAAGATGCTTTGCGGCCGCCTGAGCAGTTTCGTTTTCTCAGACGGGAGCGCGCAGCCAAGCTAAGTGTAAACCGCTGTTAAATCGTTTTTGTTTTTTTTAAACTTTTTGCCTATATCTACTGCTTGATAGCAGTAGATATAGGCACAAAAAACTGGAATCTTTAGAACCCCTTTAAGCTAATGTCTGTGTACAGTAAGTAACTATGAACAGAGTTAAGTATAAATGGGTACTCATAATCCTGCCTTAGCATCATTTTTTCTTACTACTTCCTTGAAGTATCCCTTGCTCTTTATTTTTTCCTGAGCTAAAATGGAGCATAGCAAAAGGAAGAAGGACTTTAAGATGACACTAACTATCTCTAACTATCTTTTATCAGCCTTCAGACATAAGTAGAGCAACAATTTCTAGTGCTGTGTTCCACAACCTGTATTAAGGACCACTTTACCCATTGCTGTCTATGTAATCTGAGCATTAGTAGACCCACTGAACAGGAGATGGAAGAGTTATACATAACAGAGACCTCTGCAGCTCACATTAAACAAACAAAAAAGACAAATAGACATCACCCGATATATATTTTTCCTTTAAAAACTGTATGCAATTTGGGGTCAGCCATCATATTAAGAAACCAAAAGGATTGCACAGGTGGCAGGAAGTGGTGGGCTACACCACGACCATGCAGACTCTGGATTTAATTTTAATACAACACTCCAGAGTGTATGACTCTCTAAAGCTACTTCACATAAAGGCACGAGGATGCGCCTGCTATCCAACCCTACCAGCTGTGGCTTCATCAGGAAGCCAAAGGTACACATTAGTTTTATATTCATGAAAGGGATTAAAAAAAATATCTTCCATTTATTGAAGGACACAGTGGCGATCTTGATGACATGAACTGTTGTATATGCCTCCTGGAGCAGGACACTAGGCACAAAAAACAAAAGCAAAGCCTAGGGGTGGCCCCTGCTGGTGGTCAAACCCTGTATCTGCTAGAGGCTGCTCAGATTTTTGCTGAGCATCAAGGAGTACCTAGGCACCCTGCTGTCAATTTTGATTCCTTTCTTTTTGGCAGGGTATTTTTTTTCCTTTTCTCTAGGGCTGGTAATGATTAAAATTTTTGTGTTCGATTAATCGAAATTTTTTTAATCGATTAATTGATTAATTTTGATTAATTATAATGCACATACAGATCCAACAACATTGGCCTATACACATAAAGCACAGCAATGAAGTAATAAAATTAACTAGGATCACACTAATCCAGCACGTTATTAATCTCACATGGGGCAACTCAGAATAATAACGTGCTGGATTGTGTGATCCTAGTTCATTGTATGACTTCATTGCTGTGCTGTATGTGTATAGGCCAATGCTTTGGCTGGCGCTCGTGCAGAGAGTTTAAAAAAAAAATTAATCGATCAAAAACATTTTAATCAATCAAAAAGATTAACGATTAATCGAGAAATGAATTGTTAATTTGCACAGCCCTACTTTTCTCTTAGTTATCATGATCTCCAGTCAACTGCTGGCTGGGTGACAGGCAGGACATTATAGATCTTTGCAGTCTCTCTAGCTCAACCATTGAGTGCATGCTGATCCCTTCTGTGTTCAGGATCGGCTGCCACAGCCCTATCCTGACATCTAGGGCAACCTGTAAGATATCTCAAGGGCAGCACATATGATCGATTGATCGCTTGATCTATCACAGGGTTCTCCAAGGCAGAAAGCGTTCAGATAGCCTGTCATGGGAGAACATACCTCCTATGCTTCATGACTGCAATGGTAAGTGTATACCTTTCCCCCTTTTTCCTCTGAGTCAGTGACTGGAGTAGTTTGTTGTCTGGTAAGTCCATCTGGGGTATTCCTCCCATCTGCGGATGAACAGGGGTCTCCTGTTTATGCTGAGCTAGCTGACGGATGATTCATGATCTTGTATACGTATGTGATGCGTCATTGGACGCGGTTGCTATTTGCTATCTTCTTTTACATAAGTGTCAGGCTGCAGACCAGACCTCTAAGAAAGCCCTGACGAATCTTCCTTTTAAAGTTGATCACCTATTTGGTAGAAAACTGGATAATATCATCAAAAATCTCATGTGAGGCCAGAGCACCTTCCTGCCTCGACTTAAGAAATGTAAGAAACCTCGCTGCAAACAGGGTCCTTCCTTTTCTGCTCAAAAATTGCTTTTTTCCTCCTTAGGGTGCCTCGGACAAAAGTTCCAAGTCTTCTTCGCTAATGGATCATCCTTGGCAGAATAAATAATCCCACAGAGAAATCTACCTCTGCATAAAGGTTTGCACCCACTTGTCCAACCCACTTCGCTTTGTTTGTTTCAGTTCCCTGAATTTTTCATGTCTCGGACAAATGGGTCTGCAAACTGATTGTTTTTGGCTACAAAATAGAATTTCATTCCTATCCACCTTACAGGTTAATTCTCCGTCTGTCTCCACTGCGTCTTCTCGTGCTACTTGTGGCTATTGATGTTATTTCAACATGTAGTGAACATTCCAGTTCTGTCTTCTAACAGGTTCAGAGGTTTCTATTTTAACCTATTCACAGGGACCAAGAAGGATGGAGTTCCACCAATTCTGGACCTGAAGACACTCAATGCCTTTGTCAGGGTCCGAAAATTCAAAATGTCTATCTATTTGGTGGTGGTATCTCTACACCAGGGGGATTTTCTGGCATCCATCAACATCACAGATGCGTAATCGCATGCCCTAATTTACCCATTCCATCATCTTTTTCTGCTTATTGCATTAGGGAACAAACTTCTTGAATTTGTGGCGTTCCCATTCAGCCTCGCCTCAGCCCCCCAGTTTTTTTCCATGTGCTAGCCTTAATGAGAAAGACTGGGCTCTTCATTGTGAGTTATCTGGACAACCTCTTTTTATGACTGGATTCTTGTTTTATCCTTGAAGCCAATCTGGAGATCACCCTCCTCTCCTTGGAGGAGTACAGCTAGATCACACAGTTGTCGCTGACTCCACCTCTTCATCTAGAGTCTAATTCTGGATATAGGTGTTTCTTCCACTGAAAAAACTCAAGGCCTCCCTGATGTGGTGGCTCTGCTACTGCTGCTGTTCGCTTGGAATTGGTTTCTATCTCTTAACAAAATTGTGATAACAATGCCAACGTAAGTGGGGTTGACAGGACATATGTCGGCTTAGGTCCACAGAGGAACAGGTACTGATAAATATTCTGGAACTGCTCACAATCAAAACTGTGTCTCTTGCACTGGACTAATATTCTACAGGGTCACACTGTGTGGGTTTAGTCACACAATGCTATGGCTATGGCAAATGTAAATCATCAGGGAGGAATGTTGCTCAGTGAACCATATTTAAGCTCTATCTGTGGTCTACATTCTAGGAGTAGACATCTGGTAAACAGACTACCTAATTTGACAAAGTCTAGATTAAGGGTAGTAGTCTCTACATCTGTATGTATGTCTTCAGATTTGCAGATGTCCTGCAAAGCAGCCACTTGGTGATGAATCAACACTTTTTCAAATAATGATGTTGCTGCTTTTGGTTGCAAAGTCTTACTGGCAGCTGTGTAGTTTTTCTTGCCTGAAGGGAGTTTGTTGTGTTTGTTTTTCCCACCCCTTGGTAAAAAAAAACTGTATATATGCTCTAAGGACTCATTTGTCATTTTGAAACAGGACCCATCAGTTACTTTCATATTAAACATTAGCAGAGTTGGGAGGCGCATGCGCGGGCTTCGCTAAGATGGCCGCTTAGCGCGAGTGCTCTGCACCTCGGCGGCACGATTGTCCGCGTGTCCGAAACTTTTGGGGAGGGGTTTTTAACTTAATCTTCCGGGCCGTGGGCATAAGAGTCCTAAGAGACCCTAGGCTGGCCTTGCTTAATGACACTATCCCTGAAACTCCTAAACACTCTAGAAGATTGATAAATTTCATATTCCTGGCAGCAGCCACATTGTTTTTGTGTTGTTTTTTGTGTCGTCGTTTTTGCTTCTTGTTTTTGTTTTTATTATG